AATTCATTAATTCATCCTTAATTCTCCTTCATAATATAGCAGCATCTAGTTCTAAAGTTTGCATACAAAATGTAAAAGTGTTTTAGACTGCTTCTCAGATGGTCCCTTCTGATTTTTCATAACATAACAGCATCTAGTTAGAAAGTTGCATGCAAAATGTTATAGAAGTGGTTTTTTAGACTTTGCTTGTCAAATGCTTCATTATGCTTTTTCATAACACAGCAGCATCTAGTTATAAAGTTTGCAAGAAAAATGTTGTAGTGTTGCTTCTTCTCAGATGGTTATGCTTTTTCATAACAAAGCAGCATCTAGATATAAAGTAAATGCATACAAAATGTTATAGTGTTTTTTTAGGTTTTGCTTCTCAGATGGTTCCATATACTTTTTCATAACATAGGGTCTTGGCAATGTAAATTCTTCCATAGTTCGATGAAAATAAACATACACGAACAAGTAACAATATAAGTTTTATTATTTATAAATAAAGTATTATTTGAAATGAAATGAAATGAAGATGTCATAACGGCAGTTGTTTACTTTTTGTTGGGATAACATGCATATTGTCCTAGTAATTTTCTTTATTTTGGGTGGGTTTTGTTAGGAATCCAAAGGAATTAAAAAGTGTGTTACACTCGGCAGTTTGAACACAGGTTGGGGGATATACAAGCCTTGGTATGGGTCCTCAGTACTTCACGTTGGCGTCAGTATTCGATTACGAATACGTTTCATACTTTACATGAGTCTTGTGTTCCAGTCGAACAGGAGACATGAATTGAAGTATGTCGTTTAGAATACCTTAAAACCTCACGTATGCCNCATAACAAAGCAGCATCTAGATATAAAGTAAATGCATACAAAATGTTATAGTGTTTTTTTAGGTTTTGCTTCTCAGATAGTTCCTTATAGTTTTTCATAACATAGGGTCTTGGCAATGTACATTCTTCCATAGTTTGATGAAAATAAACATACACGAACAAGTAACAATATAAGTTTTATTATTTCAGTATAAATAAAGTATTATTTGAAATGAAATGAAGATGTCATAGCGGCAGCTGTTTACTTTTTGTTGGGATAACATGCATATCGTCCTGGTAATTTTCTTTCTTTTGGGTGGGTTTTGTTAGGAATCCAAAGGAATCTAAAAGTGTGTTACACTCGGCAGTTTGAACACAGTTTGGGGGACATACAAGCTTTGGTATGGGTCCTCAGTACTTCACGTTGGCGTGAGTATTCAATCACGAATACGTTTCATACTTTACATGAGTCTCGTGTTCCAGTCGAACACCACAGAACACTTGAAGTGTGTCTTTGAGAATACCTTAAAACCTCACGTACGCCTCAGTATTCAAACATGAACACGTTTCATACTTTGCATGAGTCTCGTGTCCCAGTCGAACACCACAGAACACTTGAAGTGTGTCGTTTAGAATACCTTAAAACCTCACGTATGCCTCAGTATTCAAACATGAACACGTCTCATACTTCGCGTGAGTCTCGTGTCCCAGTCGAACACCACAGAACACTTGAAGTGTGTCGTTTAGAACACCTTAAAACCTCACGTATGTCTTAGTATTCAAACATGAACACGTTTCATACTTCGCATGAGTCTCGTATTCCAATCGAACACCACAGAACACTTGAAGTGTGTCGTTTAGAACACCTTAAAACTCCACGTATGCTTCAGTATTCAAAAATGAACACGTTTCATACCTCGCGTGAGTCTCGTGTTCCAATCGAACACCACAGAACACTTGAAGTGTGTCTTTAGAACACCTTAAAACCTCACGTAGGCCTCAGTATTCAAACATGAACACGTTTCATACTTCGCATGAGTCTCGTGTTCCAGTCGCACGCTTCGGAACACTAGCGTGTTGTCTGACTGAACTACGCGGTAGCGTATATAACCTGTATAAAACCCGTTCTTGACGACGCAATACATCCTTGGCTGTGAAAAATGTGACATAACTCGTATTCATAGCGTGCGATTCTCGAAAATTAGAGCATACTCGACGTATTCATTAGTATTCGAAGACGTTCACGTCAGAAGTGGCGTCGTGCATCGCGTGTTCCAGTCGCAAACTCTCGAACAACCGAGAGTATTCGAAAATGTTCGAGTCATAAATGATCGCTATATCTTCGAAGAACATCTAATGCAACATTAATCTACCAAAACGTGGCCCGTATCATTTATCGAACACTTCGAGTCATTCACGAGTATTAAATTTGAATACGGAAAAACAGGCCGGATTCCTATAGAATATTCCAGGTGTATTTCGAGTCAGCCGTAATCGAATACGTCAGAACATTACGGCATACGTGGCGTGCGGCGATCCGTATTCGAGCGAATTCGGGCCCGAATATTTGGCTTTTCGCGCAGTGTCCATCTACGAAAGAAGGATGTTTAGGAGCTTTCGCTCTGTCCTCTTTATTAGATGCTTGAGCACCATGCCCCTAATGGGTCTGTTCCAACTCTAAACGTTTCATTTCTAACTCATGTCTTCTCTGGGCTTCTTCGATTTCCACTTTCTGTCTCTGAAGCTCAGCTTCCATTTGTAGTTTTCTTATTTCTCGCTCTTGTCGTCGCGCTTCCCTCTCCTCATCTTGCCTTCTACGTCTCTCCACTTTCTCCTCTTCTGCAATCCTCAATCTCTCTTCTTTCTCTTCTTCTTCTCTTCTGCGTTTCTCCTCTCGTTCTTCCTCTCTGCGTTTCTCCTCTCGTTCCTACTCTCTACGCTTCTCCTCTCGTTCCTCCTCTCTGCGCTTCTTCCTCTTTACGCACAAATGCAAGCAACTCAGCTCCTTCCAGGGCAAACGTTTTGCCTAACTCAATAAACTTCTCCTTATCATATGACACACAGTCTAGAAATGTCCACACAGGAAAACAGCGTATGACACACAGTCTAGAAATGTCCACACAGGATAACAGCGAAACCTTCTTTTACACGAAATC